TTCTGGAGAAAGATTACGAGTTTTGTGTTGGAGATGTTGAGTTTGAGAAACCTGTGGAACATCCAGTTTGAGATGTTTGACAGGCCCTTGGTGGTGAGAGACTGGCACTCAGGAGCAACACTTGGACTGGATGTATGAATCTGGGAATCATTTGAGTAGACCCGTGGGGGCTAAGGAGATCACCGAGTGAGATGGCGAAGAGGGTCCCTGACAGAGGCTTGGGGGACACCCGAGGTTAAAGGGGAGTGACTTGGAGGAAAATACATCGAAGGGCTAAGAAGGCATGTCAGGCAAGAGGAAAACCGGGGGAGGGAGGAGAGAGAGCGCGCAAGCAGTACCCCAAAACTTAGAGAAGAGAGGGTGATCAGCAGTATCATAGAGAGGTCAGGGAGGGTGAAAATTGAGAAAAGGCAGTTAGATTTGTCAATTGAGAGCTAATAACATGGGAGAGAGCGGTTTCAGTTGAATGGTAACTGTAGATTGTAGAGAGTTAAGAAGACCTGAGAAGACTTAGTATAAATATACATCACAGGGGTCAAAGGCTCACCCACTAAGGCATACCCAAGTGGGGAAAAGTTTACCAGTGTAGATAAAGGTGTGCTGTACAATGGAGATCACGTTCATTTGTGGTCTTCTCAGTCAGTGTCTGGCTACAGGCCTCTCTTTCTGTTTGAGTTTGACACCACAGGTGTAGATGACTTTCTCAAGGAACTTAGCTGAGGGGGTGATGGAAAATTGATCTAGATAGGGCTTTGTAAGGATAGTCAATACACGGGCAGGTTTGCGGCCAGCAGAGAAAGAGCCAATAGACAGAGTGGGATTGAAGACTAGAGTGTGGAGCAGTTAGCTGGAGTAGATGGGAGGGATGGGGTCAGGGATGCATGTGGAGGGGTTTTCCTTGGCAAGGCACCTGAGCATTGTGAGATGAGAGGGAAGGAGAGGAAGCTTTTGTTGAATGGTGAGGCCCCTTGGCTTTAGCTAGAGGAAAAGTGAGAAGGTTTGAGACCACAGCTCCTGTGGTGAGTGAGATCGGGATTCCATAAGGGAGGTGGAGCAAAGCACCGCAGGCCCAACTAGGGTTATGTAATATGAATTGTAGTAGAGCCGGTCCATAGGGCTTTGTGACTTTGTCTAACTCCATTCAGCAGTACAGGAGGCAGATGGAGGGAGTGACCCCAGTTTGAGGTCTGACAAGGCATGATTGTGTGATTGGTGGTAGGCCAAGGAGGGAAGGGATTTGAGTGTAGAGAATGGTGTTGATTTAAACTGATTTACCAATGGGTTAGTATAGTGAAGGAAGGGCAGTGTTGTCAGTGCAAGGGTGATGGCCTGGGAAAGTAGTGAGGAATTGGAGGAGAGAGAATGGGGTAGAGATGGTAAAAGATGGTCAGATGTGAGGGTAAGGATGGTCAGCACTGTGGAGGATGGGCTAGAGTGTGTGTGTGTGTGTGTGTGTGTGTGTGTGTGTGTGTATGAGTATCAGAGTGTGCATGTGTGCATATTACAAGTTTAGTTTTGAACTATTTGTACTTGTGATGCTTATAAGGTGCAGATATCCAGCAGAAAGTTGGTATTGCAGAATTGAAGTTTGGGGGAGGGATTAAGTCTGGATATCTGGTCTGCATAAAATACAAAATGGAGGTCAGCATAAAGCTGATCATTGAAGCTGGTGAACTGGTGAGATCACCAAGGTGGGGTGTATAGATAAAGAGAAGAGGGCCTAGGATGTGACTGAGAGGGATGCCCATAATCAGAATCTGAGAGACAGACAATCCAGCAAGGAAACTGAGGAGAGGTCACACTGGTGGGATGGAAAGCCAAGACGTAGTGTTGATGTAGAAGCCACGGGAGAAGAACAGGGTCTGATGCTGGCATTTTTACAGCACAGTCAGGTCTTCAAAGCTCTGCAAAAACTGCACTGAGGTCAAGTACAGTGAGGTCTGCTCAAAGGCCATTGGACTGGCGTTTAAGAGATTGTTGGTAGCCTTGGAGAACAGTTTGGGATTGGTGTGAGTTTAGAGAAGTGAGTATGAGGCTAAAAAATGGAGGCTTGGGAAATAAAGAGGAGATAGAGAATGAGAGAAGGAGGGCAGGGTCAAATGAAGGGTTTTTAAGGATAAGGGAGACCTGGATGTGTTGATAAATTGTGGGGAAGGAGCCAGTGAAGGAGGAGAAAACGGAATCATGATCATACTTCAAGCCCTGGGGCATCCAGAGCCTCTCAGCTGACGTCCTTAACCACTGAAAAGGAATACCTCATCATTCACACCTTAGGAAGAACCAAGCATGAAGAAAATCTCTTTTTTGCATTAGGATTTGAGGGTAAATGGACAACAAATTGGGCCCAGGATTAAACAGGAGAAGAAGAGTGAACTGGATTGTGTTTAGGAAATTTCAGAGCTCTTTTAATGACCTCAAACTGTTCAACAGAAATCAAAGATCATCTTTCTTCATCTCTGTGTTCTCCCTTTGTTTTGTGGCTGTGAGTCACACAACACTGAAGTCTTTGGAGAATTAAAAATGAGTTACTCTAGGGGCAGTGGAGAAGCATGAGTGTGTGTGTGTGTGTGTGTGTGTGTGTGTGTGTGTGTGTGTGAGATAGATAGGCTGAAGTATGACAACAGTTACAGAAGAGACCCAGGGGACAGGGTATAGTCAGAGGAGTAAATGATCGAGAAAGAAAATGTATTGTTCACATGGCAGCAGCAGGGGATAGCTGGTGGACAGGTATCCTGTTGGTGTTTGGGGAAGCTGGACCCCTCTTGGCTGGCAGTAAGTGGAGCAGGTTCCCAAAGTGAGATGGATGGGGAAGAGAAGGCACAAGTAGAGGGGTTAATGTTTGCAAGGAGAGACTTTCACCTCCTCATCAGAGGCTAGAGCGAACAAGGAAGGAATTAGGGGAGAGGAAACAGTGGCTTTGAGCTGCAGTGGGAAGGCGAATTCTGCATGTTTTCTGTTTAAAATGAAGCAGCTAAACTACTTTACTACACACAAGTTCTCTTTTCTTCTTCATGACATCCTTTGGATAGAGTCTTTTCAAGGGAATCACCAGGTCTTAGGGATTGATCTGATTTGTGACTTTTTTATGTTGCCATGCTAGTCTCCAAAAATTATCCATTAATTATAGTCCCACTAATAACGTAATAGTGTCTGTTTACTTGAAGTCTTATAAATAGTTATCCCTTCCATATCACAACTTTTCCTCTTGAGGTTATAGCGTGGGTCAGCATAAGAAATTAAATGGGAATTTTGGGGGAGTTTTGCAGAAGCTGCAGACAATACAGAAAAAGTTCAGAAACTCAGAAATGCATAAAATATATGTATGATATTTTATAATATCAACATATTTTATCTTTTAATACTATAATAATTCAGCCTTCTTCTCTGGTACAAAGGAAGGACCAAAAAATTTTGCACAAATTTTCCACATCTCAGGTGGAGGTGGAGAGGGGGGCACCCGGCCTTTAACCCCAAAATGTGGAAGGAATAACTGTATTGGATTTTGTCATAAGGGGGGTGGGGTGAGCCTAGGTTTTCCTATTTAGTGAGTATAAGGCGTTATCTTAAGGTTGTCTTCACTTGAATTCCTTTGATTGTTAGGAAATTTCGGCATCTCTTCATGTGGTTATAATCAGCAATTTGTATTTCAAAAATTATATTTATGTCTTTTGAATGCTGTTTCATTGAAGAATAGTGTGTATTACTATTATAGTTATGTATTGTTCTTTACAGATGCTAGATTTCATTTTATTTACTAGAAATATTTTTTCCCAATTTGTTGCTTTTTATTTTTGTTTTATTGCGTTTGATATACAAAATTCTTATATTTGGATAATCAGCTTTTGTCTTTAGTAGTTGTGTTTGATTATATAGGTTACCCCCCTTCCTGATCAGAATAAATAAGTGTATGTGCACATATGTGAACACTGAGGTTGTGACTCTTTTATTTTGGTGATTGTCGGGGATACATGCCTAATCCCAGTTTTCCACCTGCAGTAGTATGGTTTTTCCAGAAGTTTTTATTGAATGGTAATTTCACTTCCCAGTGTTCACTACACCTTGCTTAGCAAACACTCTCCTAAATAGAGCAGGCTCTGTGTCTGGACTTCTCTTTATTTGTCTCTTTTTGCCGAGCACCTAACAGCTTTTGGACTTCAAGCTTTTTGGTACATTTTTGTCTAAGTAGAGCAAGTCTGTTTTTACTGAGTTCTTGTTCATAATCTTTACATTGACGGAATTACATAATCCCCATAACCAAGCTAATGTCGACCCGATGATTTCACCTTTGCAACATCTCCCAAACAGACCCTTTCTCTCCTATGACACTGATGCCATCCTGGTACAGGCCCTCATCACCTCGTGCCTGGTGGGTCTGCCTGCCTCAAGTCTCTCCCCATTCCAGTGCAGCCTCCATTCAGCCACGGAAGTGATTTTCCTGTCTGTCCACATCATACTCCCCACTCCCCCCCAGTCCAGTGGTTCACTGTTGTCTCCAGGAGCAAATTACACATGATCTTATGTTTTGGTTTTTTGCTTTTTGGTGAGGCAATCGGGGTTAAGTGACTTGCCCAAGGTCACACAGCCAGTAAGTGTTCAGTGTCTGAGGCTGGATTTGAACTCAGGTCCTTCTGACTCCAAGGCCAGAGCTCTATTCACTGTGCCACCTAGCTGCCCATGATCTTATGTTTTAAAAAATATTCCTGCTTATGTGCAACTCATCTGTGGATCAGTAACAAAGCCATGTCCTATGAGACAACAGCTTAGTAGGAATAGCTGTCTAGATAATGTTTGTTTTTTTAACTTTCTCTGCAGTGTAGACGCTTGTACATTTGATAACTAGAGGCGTAGTCTTTACTGAAGAGGAGGTGCAGACTAATAGATTTTGCTCAGCTTTATTGGAAAAACTTTTGATTTTAAACTCCAGATGTCCAAGCTGTAGAAGATTGAGTAGGGGGTCGCATTGCTACCGCCTTGTTCACACTTTCTTTTTCTTTTTTCAGATTCTTTAATGATGAATGGGTCCAATGTTGCCAATACAACACCCAATGCAAAATCCAAAGAGGACCAGGTAGTGAATGGGCGTGATGAGAAGGAAAACAACCCCTTTGCTGAGTACATGTGGATGGAGAACGAAGAGGATTTCAATAGACAGGTAAAGGAAAGTGTGAGTACCGTGCTCTGTTTAGTTTTCAGAGCCTCTTCCCTGGACCTCTCCAGGCTTCCACCTTCTGCCCCTGGGCTCCTGGGACGCACCAGCCTTCTCTCTGTCCTCCATTTCAGCTCCGGGCATTTTCATGGACGGTCCCTCATGCTTTGCTCTCTCTCCCTTCTCATTCACCTGTTGGCGTCTCTCATCATTCCCCTTAATGCTGGTGCCTTCCCTCTGTCGATTACCTTCAGTTTAGCCTGCGTGTGTCTTGTTTGCACATAAGCTGCTTCCCCTGTTAAATTTGAGCTCCTTGATGTCCCTATCCATCTTCTGCCTTTCTCTGTCTCCCCTGTGCTTAGCACAGTGCCTGGTATGCAGTGGGTGCTTAATAAATGTTTATTGGCTGATCTCTGGCTTTGGAGGGGGAATGTCATTTAATCATAGGGACCTGCCAGATCTACTCACCTTGGCGTCATCTGTGCACCGGTTGGCCACAGATTAATTAGAGGACATCGTAGTTTGTGGCCTTCTTTCTGGAGAGGCTTTGGGTCAGAACTGGCTCCGGCTGGGTAGGGGGCCCTGTTCTAGCCTCTGGGCGCCTCAGGAAGCCTTCTTCTAGTGAAGTGATTCTGGAAGGATTCTAGAAGGTCACCAGTGAAATAACAGATTGATTTCTGAAATTAGCGCTCCCCAGTCGCAAGTTCAGACATAGGAGGGACCATCTAATCCAACCCTGTCGTTTTGTAGAGGAGGAAACTGAGTCCTCAGTTAACGCGGCTGGTATTTGGACTGGGTTCTCTGACTGCAAACAGTGTTCTCTGTGCTGTACCACAGCGAGCTCAGTGAGTCTGCCTTCCCGGGTGACGCGCACAGGTGGACGCAGATGTTCCATGTGCGGTCCGACCGGGACAGAGTACCGTAACTTAGCACTTACTTCTTCCCTTACTTCACTGACCTCTGCTTTTTGATGCTGTTTGTTTCAAGCCTTTTACTTTTTTGCTCCACATAATTGGATTATAGCCAAAATGATAGCAAAATCATAACAGTATTTATCAAATATCCATATGGCACTAAGCTGCGCGACAGGTTCAGGAACGATTCTGAGGAGCCCAAGAGTCTGAATCAGCTTGGAGTCTTCCTAGACTCAGTGGAGTTGTCTAGAATAGCTAGGTACTTTCTGGGCTTCCCCTTATCCTATTGGAATTCTAGGGCCTTCATCACTGTCTGGTGACCGGAAATGGAGCCTGAAGCACACTGACAACATTTACAAAAATAATTCTACTTTAAGCCTTAATTCATGATCCTTCCAAGAATTTCCCCAGGAACCAAAGTCAAGCTTATGGACCTGTAGTTGGCAGACTCTGTTTTCTTTCTTTTTTTTCTTTTTTCTTGAAAATGGGGACATTTCCTGTTCCTCAGTCTTGTGGTGCTCACCTTTTCCATGATCTTTCCAGTATCCTGGACAAAGGCTCAGCAAATGCAGTTGCCATTTCTCTCACAATCAGAGGTTGTAGGATGCTCTCAGCAGCTGGGTGATGTGATTCCATCAAGAACAGCCAGGTGCTCTCCTACCATCTCCCCACTTACCTTAGGGAAGAGCTTTCTGTTCTTCATTGTTCTCCTGTTCTCTCCGATGTAAAGGTTAACGAAAACAGAATCAAGTTAAGAGTTGTCACTTGGACCTCCTCTCCGTTGTGGGTTTTCGTTGTTCGCTCTGCTCCAAGTCAAGACTTTTCCTTTCTTGGAGCTTCCTTTTTTTCCCCAATACAGTTTAAACAAACCAACCAACCTGTCTTCTTCCCTGGCACACTTTCTGCAGGGATGTGATGTATTCTGTCCTTGTCCCCTCTTATGGAATCTTGCTCCCATCTTCTCTATGGTTCTCACAAATCTCCTTTGGTTGTTGAGTTGTTCATTGGGATGCACTTACACTGGTCTCAAGACAAATCCCATTTTTCCTCCTCAATTTCCCATTGTGTTCTCAGAATTTCTTTCCCGACCATCTCCTGTCCTTCCTGAGCTGACTTACCCTAAGCAGCACTTCTTAAACCGGGTCGCAACCCCGTATGGGTCAGCTTAAGAAGTGCTGAACTAGTCACGAGTGGAAAAAGTTTGAGAAGCCCTGGTCTAAAGTACTTTATTCCCTGGTGATCCTACCTGTATTTCCTCAGAACTCTTTGACAGCTGCTTTCTGAAACCCTAGGGTACCTGTCGGACTGTACCCAGAGTTCCTGTCCTGTCCCACAAGCTCTAGGAGTACTTGGTTCCTTTCCTTCGAGGGTTCCTGTCATTACTGTGTCAGTACTCTCCACTAGTAAGAATCAGGTCCAGAATAGGGTTTTCCTTGGCTAGTTCCTCTGCCTTTCAAGGGATGAAAACATTACTGAGACTGTTCCAGAAAGTCATTAGCTGCTGTGTTCCAGTGGGTGTATGGATAGTTGAAATCCCCCTTCCCCAGGGATCTTTCCTCCGTGTGTATAATGCTCCCACTCCCCTCTTACCTGCCCTGTGACAGGTTTCATCCCGCCACCTCTCACATATACCCATGAGGTCAGCTATGTCACTGTGTGCTCTAGTTCTGTTTGTTTCCTAAATCTGGGGCATTAGTATCCAGCCATGAGCTTCTTCCACCTCTGAATGAAGGCTAAAAAGTTGAAAATGGCATTTGATTTGTACCAGGACCGAGACTGTCTCTGCCCTCCCCAAGTTTGCCATTTTTGGAGAGGAGAATGCCAGCTGCAAGGAGGAATCTGAGCCCCGAAGGAAGCTGGGCTTTCATAGGCACAGGCTTGAATTAAGGGAGCGCATGGCAAAAGCAGGAGCACAGAGGTGAGACATAGGTCTTCTCCTTGTGCCTTTGCCTGAATTATAGTGTGATCAAAAGGAAGAAGGGAGCTGGTGCTGGGAAGAGGTTGGATGGGGAGGTCCTGAAATGTTGGGCCACTGGTTTGATATTTTGTCCAAGCATTAGGGCACTGCTGAAGGTTTTTTGAATGAGAAAATAGCGTGGTCCTACCTGTACTTTAGGAGCTAGACTCTTTTGACTGCTATTGGGAGAATGAATTGGATGAGGGAGAGACTGGCAGCCAGTAGACCGTTAGAAGGCTGTTGCATTTGTCTAGGCCAGAAATGAAGAAGGCCTGAACTAAGGTGATCGTTGTATGAGGGTAGTGAAGCGGCCAGATTGTGAGATGTTGTGCAGGTAGAAACAAGGCTTTACAAGTGATTGAATTGGGGTCTGAAGGTGAGCAGAGAGTCCAGAAGGACTCTCTCATTCCAGATTGCGGTAACTCAGTCGTACTTTGTTCTCAAAGAGGACCACAGTGACATCATCTGTCTGGGTGAAGGTACAGTGTGTCCGACTGTGGCTGATCAGGCTGTTGTGAGCTCGGAAGGTCAGGCACGAATAGTTTGTGTGAACATGTGGCGTGGATTCTCTGATTTTGTGCATCTTGCATTTCTTTTGAGCTACTTCATTTCTGCTTGACTCCTAGAGCACGGTGCCCACTCTGATGTGGGCATGCCATGCTGGGTGGTCCTGTGCCAGTGTCTCCCATGTCTTACAGTCAGTTCCAGAGGTCCTTGACAGCGTCCTTGTATCGCTTTTTCTGACCACCATGTGAGTGCTCGCCCTGTGTGAGTTTTCCATAAAATAGTCTTTTGGGCAAGTTTTGCATCCGAAGGCCTGACCCGGCCTTGGGAGACGTGCCGGGACCTCCTAGGGCTGAGAGATGGCTGATGATCCAGCACGGGAAACCAGGAGAGAGCGTTGCCCAGGGAGGGAAGGAGATCCAGGAGCAAGGACAGGGACGGTCAGGTTTTAGCTTGAGCTTCCATTGATGGCCTTTGAGAGGTAATGGGGGCTCAGAACCAGGTTTTAGGGAGCCTCCAGGGAAGGGGTGGAGGAGGCGCTGAGACAGCAAGTGGAGCTGGAATTTCCCGCAGAACTTTGACTGTGACAGGGAGGAGAGATTTGGGACAAGAGCCTGAGGGTTTTTAAAAGTAAAGGCCAGGGCATATTTGTAGATAGCAGAGAAAGGGCTGATCAGTATTGAGAGTGGAAGACGTGAGAACCCAGGAATGAGCATGGCCTTTATGCTAGGCATAGATTGTTACTGACGAGTTCTGGGTCATGTACTCGTGGTGGAAGTAGGGGGCATTCACTAGTGACACTGTTAGGAATCTTGTGGGCCAGGTGGGGCATCCCTTTGTCAGAGCCTGGGGACCCGGCACATTTTAAAACTCAGGACCCAAACAGGTCATTTCTTTTTCAGGGGAGGAAAGGTGGGGGTAGTGTGAAACCAGATACAGGCAAAAAAGGATAAAGGAACAGAGCCAGCCGGGTTTAGAAGGAAAGGTTGGGGGTGTTGAAAGCCTTAGAGAAGTTTCAGGAGAACTAAGGGTGTTATCCAGAGCATCTTGTAGGAGGGAGTGAAGGTCCTCGAGGGAGCTGAGCCACTCCCAGGGAAGCTTCTCTCTTATTACCAGCCGTTTCACAGTGTCACTTCAGTTCAACAGCATCTCTGTCATTGCCATTGTGACATCTTCCTTTCTGAGGATTTTCCAAGGAGCTCCCTGACCCTTTCTTCCCCCCTTGGAAGAGTCACGGCTTTCTAAACATGGGATCTCGACCTCATATTGTCCTTGGAGACATTCCTGAATATGACTGTTCTGAACAGTACGGGTTTGTGACTGTGGCATTTTCTAGATAAGGGCAGCTAGGCAGTGCAGTGGTTAAGAGCACCTGAAGTCAGGAAGACTTATCTTCCTGAGTTCAAATCCGGCCTCAGACACTACTTGTGTGATCCTGGGCAAGTCACTTAACTCTGTTTGCCTCAGTTTCCTGGAGAAGAAATGGCAAGCCACTTCATTATCTTTGCCAGGAAAATCCCTAGTGGGGTCATAAAGAGTCAGACACTACTGAAGAACAGTTCAACATTTTCTAGATGACTACTTTGAAAAAAAAAGTATTATATTTTTTCCAATTACATGCAAAAATAGTT